AGAATCACTTACCCCGATGAATTTCTTGAAAAACCTTCGAAAAATCGCCAAAATCGGAGCTCTCTAGGTCAAAATATTAAATAAAACCCAAAACCTTGTATTTATAGAGTACCCCTCAGATTTCAGCTTCTGCGGTCCGCGCAAAAGCACCACGATCCGCACAAAACCACCGTGGCCCGCACAACACATACCGCGGCCGCACTTACTTTTGTGCGGTCCGCGCGGATGGGTTCTGAGGCCTACAACCCTTCTGGACCTGCTACAGCTATGATTTTGGCCTAAAACATCCCGGAACCTACCCGGAACTCCTGGAATTCCAAACCAATTGCGCCAACACATCCCATGAAATCGTTCAAACTTGTTCAAAACCTCGGGATGCTCACAACACCATCAACCACCAATTTAACATAGGATTCAAGCCTAAGAACTCCAAGAACTCTTAAATTATGCTTTTGATCAAAAAGTCTATCAAATCTCGTCTGAATGACCTAAAATTTTGCACACACATCTCAAATGACAGAATGAAGCTACGGTCACTCTCGGAATTCCATTCCGACCCCTATATCAAAATCTCTCCGATCAACCGGAACCGCCAAAATATCAACTTCGCCAATTTAATCCTAAATCTTCTCTACAACTCCAAAACCCATTCCGATCGCGCTCCTAAGTCACAAATCACCTCCCGAAGCTAACCGAACCATCGGAACTCACTTCTGAGCCTTCTAACACATAAGTGAACATCCGATTGACTTTTCCAACTTAAGCCTTCTTAAAAGAGACTAAATATCTCATTTCTTACCAAATCCTCTTCGAACTCAAACTAATCCACCTGATCACATAAAACACGGATAACGAAGCGTAAATAAGCTGAAATAAGGGAAAGCGGAGTGGTAACTCATGAGACGACTGGTCGGGTCGTCACAGCACCACATCTGTAGTACCATTACAATTCTTCAATCCTCGATTTATAACAAGTGGTTCGCATCGCGTAAGATTGAGTAGGAAGGAAACAAGGGCATAAGCCTCAAGGAATCAAATCGCACGATGACGAATCAAGAAGGGAAGTACTCCTAACAGCCCTGTAGCCCCCCGAGGATAAGTACAGATGTCTCTGTACTGATCCGCGAGACTCTACTAGACTTGCTCATGACTCATGAGACCTAAGGGAACCTAGTGCTCTGATACCATATTGTCACGACCCAAAATCCACTAAGGGTCGTGATGGTGTCGTACACCACTGTCAGGCAAGTCACCGCGGAAGTATTAATAAATTCTCATTTTATCTAATTATTTTGAAATAATTTCCCTTAAACAAATGAATAATAATCATAATCTCCACTGAATAAATGAGGATGTCTTTACAAAATTTAACTACTGAAATAAAATCCCATGATCATCCCAGAACCCGGTGTCACAAGTGCATGAGCAATTACTAAGGAATCGAATAAAGCACAACAACTATCCGGAATACAAATTGGACAAAAAGTAAATACAATACACTGAAAGAGACTGTACTGGCTGCGGGCCGCCTCGAGGGATACAGCTAGCCTAAGTCTCTGCATCAACCAATGCCGCTATGCCACTAAGCCACTAGCCACATATGAACTTGTGCAACAAAAATGCACAACAAGTGTAGTATGAGTACAAAAACAACGTATACACAATGAGTATCTCGTCTAATATCGAAGAAGTAGAGACGAGAGGTCGACTTCAACACTTACTAGTGGTCCAGTAATGATATATTATTAATGCGAATAATCAAGGATTTATTAAGATTGACAGTAATTTCAAGTAAGTCATGTACAAGTGACCGTTCCTTTTTATATTAAAAATCTCAAGATTTATAATCCAATAGTTTCCCATTTATTCAAGTCGGGGAGAGCAAATATCAATCCCAAATAATCTCAAGGCAAGAAATACAAGCATGCGCAAATCATGCTGAGGACGTACGGCCCGCTCCAACAGAAAGTAAACTGTGCACTGCCGAGGGTCGAATGGCGCGAACCATAGATGCATCTATTTAATCTGCCGAGGCGTTCGGCCCACTCCAAAATAAACACATACAAACTGACAACCAAGAAGTCCAAACGGAAAAAATTTCCAAAGAAAGCCAATCCTCTTTTAACCATTTAAGAAAAATGAAGTTTAATCAGTTTAGAAATTCATTTACTAATTCAATATGATTTAAGCAATTCAAGCTGTCAATAAGTTCACAAATAATCCAAGTATAACATGCTCTTAGGTCCTAAACTACCCGGACAATAGTATAATAGCAGCTACGCACGGACTCTCGTCACCTCGTGCGTACGTAGCCCCCACAAATAGGAGCACATAGCCAATTAACTCACCTATGGGGACAATTCCCTCTTACAAGGTTAGAAAGGAGACTCACCTCGCTCCGAAGATCCATAACCGACATTTCACGCTCTTCCGAAGACTCAAATGGATTCACAACGCTCCAAAACTAGTCAATAATTATATAAATCCATTAATATATGCTCAATTAATCATTACAATCCAATTTCTAACAATTCCTAGCCCCGATCGAAAAGTTGACAAAATTGCCCTCAGACCCACATGCCCGGATTCCGAAAATTTTCGAAGATTAATCTTACCCATAATTCCACGAACTCAAATATATAATTTACTCTCAATTCCATACCCAAAATCGTGGTCAAATTCCAAGAATATAAATTTCTAGGCCTTTCTACCAAAACCCCAAATTTCTACCAAAACCCCAAATTTCTACCAATTTACATGCTAAAATCCATACATAATCGATGTATTTAACTCAAGATGGATGGGATTAACTTACCTTATCGTTGATGATGAAAAATCCCACTTGAAACTCTCCCAAAAATTGCCCAAGCCAAGAAAATATGAGAGAAAATGGCCAAATCCCGATTTTTAAAACACATCTCTGCGTCCAGCTCTTTCCATACCTGCGGTCCCTCGACCGCTTTGTGGTTCCGCAGGTGCGGCCTCACTACCGCATCTGCGGCCCTTCCCAGGCTGCCCTTTCTCCGCTTCTGCGCCTTCTCCACCGCAGGTGCGGTCCCGCATCTGCGGCCAAACGACCGCATCTGCGGTCCCAGCCCTCTTCACGCCTAACTGCTTCTGCGGTTCAATTCCTCGCTTTTGCGGGGTCGCTTCTGCGGTGAACCCTCCGCAGAAGCGGTTATACCAGCAACTAGACCCCTTCAGCTATCCAAAATTCCAAATTTCGATTCGTTAACCACCCAGAATCCATCCGAGGCTCCCGGGACCCCAACCAATCATACCAACCAGTACCTAAACACATTACGGACTTGCTCGAGGCCTCAAATCACATCAAACAACGCTAAAATCACGAATCAACCTCCAATCCAAGCTTTATGAACTTTAGAATATCAAACTTCTACTTTCGATGTTGAAACCTATCAAATCACGTCTGATTGACCCCAATTTTGCACACAAGTCACATTTGACATTGCGGGACCTACTCCAACTTCTGAAATCGGATTCCGACCCCGATATCAAAAAGTCCACTTCCGGTCAAACTTCTCAAAAACCTTCAATTTTCTATCTTTAGCCAACTGACCCCAAAATGACCTATGGACCTCCGAATTCACTTCCGATCGCGCTCCCTACTCTAGAATCACCATATGGAGCTACTCCCAGGTTCGGAATCTCAAACGGGCATCGATAACACTGAAATGCACTTCAAGCCAAACTTATGAAATTTCTTCCAAAATGCTAACTTCCACATTAGGCGCCAAAACGCTCTCGGGTCATCCAAAACTCGATCCGGGCATGCCCAAGTCCGAAATCATCATACGAACCTGCTGGAACCTTCAGATCCCGATTCCAGGGTCGTTTACTCTGAAATCCAATCTTAGTTAATTCCTTCAACTTTAAGCTTCTGAAATGAGAACTCTCTTGCCAAATCAACTCTGAACTTTCCGAAATCTAATTCCGACCATGCGTACAAGTCATAATACCTGAAATGAAGCTGCTCATGGCCTCAGACTGCTGAACGGCGTGCTAGAACTCAAAACAACCGGTCAGGTCGTTACAGAACCTGCATTAGTATGCCTTTTTTTGAAAGAAACTGGAAGGAAGATGAAGTGGTTTGATGATTTTGACAGATAAAAAGTGGGAGTTGAAGAAAGATCGACTTTTATTGAGAAGAGCAAAACGATTTCTGACCAAGCAGTTTGAGTTCAGATTAACCAAAGGATAATCACGATAACTTTAATAATTAATAACTAAAGTTAAGGAAAAAAGATATTAAACACACGTAAAGTTATAGCAGGAATTATTCAAGTGGTTTTTTCTTTTCTCCTTTATTTATATTTATATATTAAAAAAAGAATTCTTAACTTAAAAGTGACCATTGGAACTTAAGGTCATTGGAGAAATTTGATGGACCATTGGAACGTGAGGCAACTCAATTTAGAATAGAACAGATATAGTAATAATTCTGTGAATCTTTTTTGTAGCTCTTATACTCATTGCTTGTATAAATTTTATTTTTTCTGTCTCCACCAGAGAATTTCTGCATGGAAATTATTTTGCAACTCGAGCGCTAACCTAATTTATGGCAGATTTGGATTTTTTAAGTATGGATACATGGAGTACTGCTAGTCACAACGTTAATATAAAAGTATACCAACTATTCATGAACATACCAGTTGGTTCAAGATCATATTTAGTACTTTAGCCCTAAACTATTTGAGGCATAAACACTTCCATATTTTGCATTACTAAGTTAATAAATACTACATAGAGTACATGGAAAATGGATTGCCACTGTAAAATGAGATGAGAATGGCAAGAAAAACCTGGAAACCAGAAAAGATGCTATGCATCCCCAATTAAAATCAATATAATAGTAAAAAGGTTATTTCAAAAAATAACCAACACTGGCAAGTAGCCAGTGTTAAGTACAAAATCAATGGAGCTTTAACAATCTATGGACTGTCTTACGTATGTAGAGAGTAAAAGTTTAACACCTGAGAACCATAAATTGATTCAAATATCTTATCCAAAACAAATGAGAATACAAAACTAACTAAACTGGAAAAGTTCAATACCAAGAAAAACATGAAATGATTCAAACATCTTGTTCATAACTAATAAAACTAATAAACTAACTAATCAGACATATTTTAGTTTCTGCAACAATTACATTTGAAAACAACTTATGTTGTCTTCTTCTTTTTTTAAATACTCTCTTGATCTTATTTCCCGATAACTGTGCATTCGAATCTTCTTCAACCACTGCTGCAATCTTGGCAGGTGTATTTGCAACATCGATCAACTCGTTATCTTCGGTATAATCCTACATATTTAAAACACATAAACTTGTGAAAATCAATAGTTAATTTGTAGTTCTTATTGCTTTATTATTGTATAACCTGCAAATCATTAAATTAAAAGAATGAATTATGTAAAATATTAATAATGAGTTGTAAAATCACCGCGATTTCATTATCTTCATGACTGAGTTCGTTATTATTGAAATCTGGATCCTATAAAAAATTGTGCATCATAAGTAAATCAATTCAATCACAAATAGGAAAGTTGAGAAAAATTAAGTATAGAAACATACTTTGAATGCCTCTTCACGTGGAGAAAGAATGTATTTTTTTATAATTTCTTCATCGTCACTAAGTGTAACAACTTTCAAGACATCATCTTGATTCTTACCGTTGGAACTCTTAACCTCCACTTTAAACATAAACTTTTTATCAACAATATCTTCTCTCTCCATTCGACATGAAGAGTCGTCTGCAGCACCATAATTCTAACAAAAAGGACATAATCACAACGGTTAACAGAAGCTACAACAACACAAGTAAAAAAGCAAATGTAATATGGTGTACACATATTTTTTGTTCCATATTAGAATGGATTTAATAGTTACAAAGATAATGCTTCAATTCTCATAGTAAGTTTATTATTGAGCATAAGCTAAATGCCAAGAACAATACACTAAATAAAGCTACTAAAATTAAAAGAGGAAAGTAGAACATCAGAAACTAAAGTGAAAGCATAAGTCTTCTGAAGTAGGATCAAAATAAAGTGAAACATCAATCAAAATTCAAACAACATTTATGCTCTTTAAAAGACACCAAACTACAACTATCTTAACTTCACCAAAACTTAGGGACAACAAAGAATAGAGAACTATTACCATCATTTCAAACTTATCAACCCTGTAAAGTAAATCTAAAAAGAGCAAATGCATACGAATTTAGCAAAATAAGCTCATTTGACTTTTAAAAAATCCAAATAGAAAAGAGCAATAAAGCATGATGTGTAAAATAAATGATTAGCAAGGGCCAGAAGCATAAAAGACACAAGAAAGCAGAAAGAAACCACGGCACATGGGAACCAAAGGAATATATATGCTAAAAAGGTAAAGCTACTTACCCTTACACAGTGATTTGCTTGTTGCTCGGTCAAACTCACTTTTTAGCTTTCATAGTTATAGAAAAATAATACTAACTGAGAATTCAAAGTAAATTAAATGGCAGAAGTAGCCATTCTGATAATGTGAAGGTCAATAGAGGAAGTTTCACAGCATTCAGTGCTGACTTTGTAACTTAAACTTGGAACTTTGAAGTTTAACAGTCCTCACATGCTTATAAACATAAATTAAACTACCCCAAAATAAGAACGAAAGGAGATGCAGGGGATTGGATCATGTACCATTTATTTCAAAGTTTTTTTTTGAACATAAAGATACTTATTTATTAAACAAAAGTAGTAAGCATTACAGGAGTAGTTTTGATTATGATGATCAAGGATAGATGGTAACCCATGCATGGCATGCAAATTACCTATAGCAGCTAGAGTTCTACAACACTTAACAGAAATTATTTTTTCACAAACTTCACCACACTTGTCTGCCAGCATCCTGGCCAAGATAAAAAGTGGTGGATACAACCAAAATGCTAATTTATTTGAGACTAAGCTCGTCATTCAATGCTTTGCCAATTTGTGAGCTACTTCATTCCCCTGCCTGAAGAAGTGATGCATTTCCACGGTGCCCATTTGTGCCAGAAGTAACATGCAACAATTTATAATAGAATCATAAGTTTTGCATCCATCACGAATAAAAGTGATTACCTGTGTAGCATCAGTCTCTATTTCCAACGGATAAAGTTTCCTGTTATTTGCAATACAAAGTCCTTCATAGAGAGCCATGAGTTCCGCTTGAACTGGATTTTTTACACTTATCTTTGAAGCAAAACCAATTAGCCAGTCCCCTTTCTCATTCCTTATGACCCCTCCAATGCCTTCTATACCTTTTTCCTTATTATAGGCACCATCTATGTTTAGTTTATACCATCCCCTACAAGGTTTCGTCCAACTGATGGTGAGAATGACTTTCTTATCCCAATTAGACTCCATATTTGTAAGTAACACGTATTCTACTGATTGATCAATGATCTTACTGAGGGATGAGCGAATGGTAATATTATTAATATTGTTACTATTCCTAGTAATCCAAATATTCCAGATAATAAAGGGAAACAAGGTGTTCCAATTGATTAACTTATTGGGAATAATGGGACTTTTTAATTGGAGAGAATGAAGCCATGTTTGGCTTGAAAGATGAGAATTGGAAGTGTCAGTTCCCAGATTATCCCAAAGGGTTTTAGCATTTGGTCATACGAGAAAAATGTGCTTAAGAGATTCAGGTTCCTTACGACAAATAGTACATGTTTCATCTATGTTTATGCCAATATGGGAAAGGTATTTTCTACATGGCTATCTGTTGAGGTTGCATATCCACATAAAGTGCTTAATTTTATTAGGACAGTGCAATTCCTAGATCCAGTCACTTTTGATTTCAGGGTGAACTTTCCCTTCCAAAAGTTCGTAACAAAACTTGGTCGTAAATAGACCATTTCAGTTACTATCCCAGGATAAAGAATCAGATTTAGTGTCATTGAGGATTAAAGTTGATTGGATTTTAGATATAATTTCCTCAGGGATATCTAAGGAAATATTACCCAAATCCCAATTATTCCTAGTTCTACTATCACATACCCTAAGGGAGGATTCCTCTTTAGTTAAAGGGCCAATGACATAGTTTCTAAGGGCTTTGGAGTTGGTTATCCAATTATTATCCCATAAGTTGAGGCTTGAAGATTATGAATAGTCCAAGACAGACCTTTTTGGCATAGTTCCCATCCCCTGATCACACTTTTCCAAATGAAGGAGCCCTTATCTTTTGGCTTATGAGAGTATATTTTAAGAAGTGTTGAAGCCCAAAGATTAGTGGTATTGTTTGCTAATATTCATGCTAGACTTGCTAGTAGGGTTATATTTTTTGACCGAGCTTTCCTTAGTCCCAGCCCCTTCCTGTTTTGGTGTAGTAACAATACCCCAATTAACTAGATGTAGTTTTTTCCTATTTTCGGTTGAGCCCCAAAGGAAATTTCTTTGAATTTGGTCAATAGTCTTAAGGGTTTTGGGGGGAAGCATAGTATATTGCATGTAGTAAGCAGGTAGACTTTCTAGAGTAGATGTAATTAGAGTGCATCTACTGGCTAGGTTAAGCTTGTCACATTTCCATCCTGAGAGCTTACTCCTCATGGTATCAATGATAAATTGGTAGTCTTTGTGACTGGGGTTTTTGCTAATGATGGGAAAACCTAGATATTTCCCAAAAGAATTGCATTCCTTAATGCCAGTAGAAGGCACAAAATTGCCTAAGAGCAGATTTTATAGAAGAGGTTGTATTATTATTTGCTTTGCCTATTAGAACCAAATCATCTGCAAAAAATAAATGAGATAGTTGGGGGCAGTCTTTACTAAGGGAGATAGGGTCCCAACTTCTTATATCTACTAGGTGATTTATATAGTTTGATAACATCTCCATGCATAGACAAAGTAGAAGTGGGTGATCGAAAAAATTGTCTTAGAGAGAGAAACTCTCCCTTCTCTTTACATTCCCTACCTCCACCTCCATGGAAACTGTTCCACTATCCACTTACCCAGCCTCCCAAATCCCACCCAAACCACCTGATATACAGCATAATTGTGAAGAAATTAATCCGCATATTCTTTCTACTAGTAGGGGAAATCAAATGATTGATGCAGAGAACTCCTCCTCACCAATCATGCTAGATAAAATACCCCAACCTCAAGGTTCTTCATATAAGGAAGCTCTTCTATTGGACACTATTAGCGGCCAGATTATTCAAAACCCCATGCAACCACAAACCACCCAAGTCTTTTCCACGCAACTAGACTATAATTCCTATGGTCTGTCTAGCCATATAACCAGTCCACAAAACACCATAGAATCAAATGATAACCTACAAGTTTCCCTTTCAGTAGGTGATCTTCAAAGGATATACCAACCATAGAAATATTCTCTTATTATTAAGCTCATGGGAAAACGTATTCCCCATCAATACCTCAGAAGGAAGATATACCAACTGTGGAAACCAAATGAAAATTTCACCCTAATGGATCTAGGGGATGATTATTTCATAGTAAAATTCTCCAAAGAAGAGAATATGTCCTGAGCCCTCAATAACGGACCATGGTTTGTTAATGGTTATCACCTATCAGTACAAAAATGAGAACCTCATTTTGTAGCAAGTGAGGCAAAACAATTAAAATCAGTCGTGTGGATTCGATTACCACAACTCCCTACTGAATTTTATGACTTAACCATTCTTCAAAAAATAGGGAATACTATAGGTCGTCAATTGAGGATTGATGCCTGCACTTCCTCAACTCTAAGAGGAAGATATGCTCAACTTTGTGTTGAAGTTCCTATGGACAAACCAGTAAAGCTATTCGTCTATATTGGAAATTACAAGCAACATATATACTATGAGGGGGAAAAATTTTTATGTATTAAATATGGGAAATTAGATCATAACCAATTAAAATGTTTAGTGCTCTCACCACACCATAAAGCCAATGATATCCAAGGAGGTATAACAGGACCTCAACAACAAGACTCCTCGCGATTGGGTAACTGTCACATTCAGTAAGAAGAAGAAAGCCAATGGAGTAAATCAAGTCCGCACTGCAAAGGGTAACAGTCAAGGTACACATCTGAATCCATCTCGCACTGACACAGGTATGTCCTCTAAACCTCATAATGATCCCTACTATACCTCTAAAAATTTGAGTAAAGAACCATCCAATACTACTGGTAATATGCCAAAGAATAAACAGTACAAGGAAAAAAACAGCTTCCTCAATACTGGCAAGAATCCAAACTTTTTTGAGGCTCTGAACTCAATAGAGCACATAGGTTTGGATGATGGTTTAGATGACAATCCGTATACAATCCCTATTACCCAATGTATGCAAAGTAGAAAAGACAAAATTAAACATGTGTCAAGTAATACTCTCACATTGGAACCCTTATCCCAATCATTACAAGAATTTTCCACTAAAGACAAACTTAGGAATGACTCGGTTGTCCCTAATCTAATGTGCAATACTAGTACTAATCACACTACTACCCCTATCCAATCTACATTACACATGGCCATGCATGCAAAGGGGGACGTACAAATGGCAGAAAATTCAGAGTTCTTGGCAAACTCAATATCCTCCAAAGATATTATATACCAACACACGCTAAACCAATTATCGGACATGCATCAAAAGACCACTATTGAAATCAATAATCCTACAAAAGCTAAATCTCCTACTACCAATATAAACATTATAAATATCATCCAAGACAACAATGCCAAGACTCCCACTATCAGCAAGAAGAAGGTTTTGATTGATTCACCTAACAAACCAACTCAGACCTTCTCAAATGTCCAACCCTCCACAACTCCCTCCACATCTACAGAACCATCCCCTCTTCTTCACATCACCCCCTCAATCCCAGAACTACCAACCGGCCTCTTGGCTAGAAGCAGGTCTCCTAGGACATGCAATAACCTTCAATATTCAGATCAATGGTCAGGAAATGGTAATAATAATACAGAATACTCGTTACCTAGCCAACTAATAGTGGAGGGGATGCACTTGGCTATGAACAACTACACAAACCAAGCTTGGATCAACAACATTCTCCACCCCTTAGCCCTACATATGAACCACACTTTGATCCAGGAAATGCAGAGTCAATAGAACCTCCCTCAAACTCCCAACCAATATATCAATCTCCCAATGACTCTCCCCTTCTTCCCAGCAGAGGAGAGCATGATGATCAACCCAATCTTCATGCCATGGGGTCACCATGCAGCCCAGGGAAACAACAATCCTCCAAACATGGCCCCAGTCAACCTAGATCTAATTATTCAAGCCAATGCTCCAGAACAAGGCCCTCCACAACCTCCAGTAGAGGAAGAAGAAGAACACCATCCATAAGATATTCAACCGAGTGTAGAATTCTCAAGCCTAAACGAAGTAAAAATACTTCTCTTCCAGGAACTATGGCGCAAGAAATACATCTTCAATTGCCTGAGCACCATGTACAAATGCGCAATGAATGTTCGTCCACCACAAGATCCCACCGTAGGAAAGCAAGCTATCATTCTAGTTCCATCAAGAAGGAGGAGTCACAACTCAGTGGAAAGGGAATCCACTGTGATCCAACCTCAATCCCCTCTAATGAATAGAGCAACCACTATTATATTCTGGAACATCCGAGGTGCTAATAATGATGATTTCCGTCGTAACTTTAGGGATTTAATCGATACCCACAAACCTTGCTTGGTGGCTCTCTTGGAAACTAGGATGCATGTGCATGCACCCCTCCTCCATGAATTTAATTTTTCTGAACTCATAGAGGTACTCGCTGAAGGCCAGTCAGGAGGAATGGTTGTCCTCTACAACCATGACACAGTTACGGTTGAGCACTTTACCAGAAATGGTCAGGAGATCCATACACTCCTTCAGGTTCATCCTTTTAATTTTAGTTGGCTTTTTACGGCTATTTACGCTAGTACTCAAGTTCAACCTAGAGATATTATGTGGAAAAATATAAAAGCTATCTTACAAAATTATAAAGGTCCGTGGATGCTAGGGGTGATTTAAATGATATTATTAGCACAAATGAAAAAATAGGAGGAAGACCTCTAAAGAAATATAGGGCAGCTAAAATATGGGACAATATCGACTCATGCAAGTTAATAGACCTTGGCTTCAAGGGAAGTAAGTTTACTTGGTCCAATCATAGGAAGAAAAAAGGTTTAATTATGGAAAGGTTAGACCGAGTCCTAGCTAATGATGACTGGGTAAAAAAATTCCCTAATGTTACCATTACTCACCTTCCTAAGACACACTCGGATCATAAGCCTATCCTTGTTAAGCTCAATAATATTACTCACCACTGTGAAACAATTTTTAGACTTGAAAATATTTGGTGTACTCATCCTAATTTTGGTAATATAGTTGCAAACCAATGGAAGAATAAAGATCTAATGGGGGCAACCAATTCCTTCACTGCCTTTATTAAGAAATGGGGAAATGACCACTTTGGAAACATATTTAGGGAAAAGAAATTGCTTCTAGCCAGAATAAATGGCATACAAAAATCCCCTTATCTTTCCTCTAGTTCGTTCCTTCAAAGTTTAGAAAAAAATCTAAATACAAATTATAATAACATTCTCAAATTAGAGGAAGACTATTGGAAGCTTAGATCTAGAATCACCTGGCTAAACGAAGGGGATGCGAATACTAGATTTTTTCAAATAAGTGCATCTAACCGGAGAAGAAAAGATCATATTAGCTTTTTTAAGAATAGTGAAGGAGTATGGATTGACAATCACCTTGACATTATTAACAATACACTTGATCACTTCTCTAAGTTATTTTGCACTAGTCACACCCTTACAGATATGACTCACTTACTTCATAGCACAACTAATTTCCATACAATAGATCTATCTGCTCTGGACAGACCCTTGATAGATGAAGAAATTTATAGTGCTATATTCTCCTTCAAACCTTTTAAATCTCCCGGACCGGATGGTTTACATCCTTTTTTTACCAAAAATACTGGAAGATAATAAGAGATTCAGTGAAGGTTTTTTGTCACAAAGTTTTTAAGGATAATGCAATTCCTCCAGAAATAAACTCTACTTACATTTGCCTTATCCCCAAATTTCCTAATGCTAACAACCTCAATAATTTTCATCCTATAAGCCTATGTAATACTATTTACAAGATAATCACCAAAATTATTGCAAATAGGCTAAAACCTTTTCTAAACAATCTCATCAGTCCTATTCAATCTAGCTTCATAAAACATAGGAGAGCTAGTGACAATGCTATAATCATCCAAGAGCTCATTCACTCTTTCAGAAAAGAAAAAGGTAACAATGGGAGAATGTTAATAAAAATTTACCTTGAGAAGGCATTTGATAAACTTGAATGGTCCTTCATATACACGACTCTTCTTTTCTTCAAGTTTCCTCCAAATATTTCTAAACTTATTATATCATGTGTAGTGCTTCATCCACTTATTTCAAAGTTGATGGTCTTATTTTTCTAAACAATTGTATTATACCTCCAATACATCATCCTTTAAATTATTTGCCGATTTTTCGATAATCTTAGCTGCATCCTTATCCCACAACAACAAAGAAATTGTATCGGTGCAATCCATCACCTAAACTTGTAGCATGTACCTGGAAAGAGTTTGTGCTTTTAATTTTTTAATCTTTAATAATAGTAAAATAAAACTATAAATTATGGTCATACCTATGAGTGAGAGGTTGAAGTTGCTCGCATTTTTTACAATAGAAATTTTCCCCCTCTTTGTCTTGTTTCTTTGCGCAATTTTTGCATGCTAAATAACACCATCCACGGTCTAATTCTATGTGTACAATAATTTCTACAACCCAGAAATATCCTGGCTGCACATAAAAAATTTATATACAAATGTTATGGAGAGAAAGAGAGGATAAAAGTTGTGATAATTAAAAATTAACAAAACTAAAAAGTAGGTACTCACATGCTTACAGTCACTCAGATCCTCAATAGTTTTAACTTCAACGCTTCCAGATGCTAGCTCATCAACAACAGAATGAGTTTTGTGAGATGAAATTTGAGTAATTCTTTGTGAGCTTTCTCCACGCACAGAAACCATTCTATTTCATTTTTAAGTTGATATATGTTAATAAATATTAAGACTAAAATTTGATTTGAAATATCCTTTAATTAAGTATAACTTATAGACCTGGAGCAAAAGTCAACAACTTGAGGAAGATTTGAATTGATCCAAAGCTTCGACGCGTGCCAAGTGTTCCTCACCGAATATTGTTCTATACACATAAAAGTAATTTTTAAGAGTTTATTAATTGTATAAAGACATTGTATAGTAAAGTAAGTAGAAAATTTAATAACCTCGATATCGATGTGCTCTAATCAATTGCATGAAGATGACAATAGGCTTATCATTGGATCCATTCAAATGCAGCTTGATCTGTTCGACAAAGTCTCCCCAAAGAGTTGCAGAAATATTATTGCTCCTACAATTATTATAAGGTTAAGCATAGGAATCAAATTAAAGAATTGTTGAAATATTTAGTTAGTATATTAAATTGTGGCGAGCTTACTCATAATCTTGTATCTCAATGTTCATGAACATACGGATGCTATCATCTTGTTTGATAGATTGTAAGTCTTCATAGCTCACAATTTCGCCAATAACATCTACAATAACATTGAAATTTGTTCAAAATTAGTAATCATTATGGACAATATAAATGAAAATTGTTAAAGAAATTATTTAATTCCATGATCTACTTAAGATATAGCAATGTGTAAAACAAACATATAAGACAGAAAAGAGATTATAGAATATTAACTAAAACCGAAAAATCGTATCCACGATTGACGGAAATCAGATTGTCATTTTCGAAAAAGGACACCTCAATTTTACAATTACTTTTATTAGTTACACAAAAGTAAGTAGTTAGCTTTCAGGTATGCATAACCACTTAAGTAAAAGTTAGGTTTACCTTTCTATTTAATGTGTTTATTAATTAATATTTCTCTTACTAATTATAGTTGTTGTTCATTTACGACTGAGTCTATTTGAAAAGCAATAGGACAACCATTTTATTTCTACTAAGTCTATACAAAATAGAACGATTAACTCATGCACATGTTACAGTAAGACATAGTTGGCAAACTTCTCTCTGTGAACTCTCTCTCCACAACATCAGCCTACTTTGAAAAGTGGAAATTTGGCTGATTTATCAAGTAGTCCTATTTATAGACTGTAGCAATAGGGAAATTATTTTTTAGCTACTACTTCACTGCCATGTTTAGTTATATTGAATTACTTCTCACTTAGCATTCATATAAAAAATAATTAAAAGTAAAGTGAAACTGGAAAAAATGAGAGAAATTTAATTACCGAATAGCTCAGTATTGTCAAATTCCTGAGGATTTGACAGCTGCTCATAGGTTTTAAATTTGAAGATGCACATGTTGAAATGTGGATCATGTATTTCCTCAACAGTGGTCTTATGCGTGAACATTAACTTAAACTTGTGATCTTTGGTCTTCAGTTTCATATTATTTGGACAAACTACGAAATTCTTCATGATGTACAAACCCATTTCCTTAATTTGTTGATTGAACCTTTGGATAAAAGGCATGCCAATACTTGCGTGAATGCGGTCGCCCTAAAAAAATAGTCAATTAGTTAAAATGACTAAGTTATTTTCTATATGGCTGTAATATATTTATTCATATGTAAACAATGCAAATAGAAAGTAATCGTTCAGTTTAAATCAATACCTTTTCATCCATCACAATAATCTCAATAGAAAAGGCGTATCAGGTCTGTCGCGATCCGAATTTTCCCAAAGCCTGACAACACGAACCTTTAATTTCCAATTCATTGACTTGCTGTTAATTTCGCTAACGAAATTTACTTGAGCCGCCATTAAGTCCTGAAAATAGACAGAGGTATTCATAAATATTAGTACAAAGTGCAACAAAATACTTATAGAAACACATATGAAGCAACAAATCATGTGAAATAATTGACTTTTTGCTGACGATTCTCCAAAAAATCATCAGCAAGAATCTATGGTATAATCCTAAGATTGGTAAACAACAGTTGCCATAGGAGTTATACCGTCAACAAACTTCACAGAAAAATCTATCAAGAAATACAATCTCAACTATAATAAAGATTGTTTATGAAATACAAATCATACTTATCACCTCTTGTAGTCGACAATTGCTGTTTGATATGCAGAAGAGGGAGAAAGAATAGAAGTATATATATTGTAAAAGTAGAAAACTGAATTGAGAAAACTATGAAATCATGTTACTGAGAATGTAGGAAAGAGGAATGCGCGGGTGAGGAGTTGAAATCATGGTGAGAGATCGTGGGATAGAAGCCGAATTTGTAGGATTACGATTTCTAGGGTAAATAGACGAAGGAAGGGCGTAGGTCTGAAGCGCCGAATTCCAATTCCTCTTTCTAGGGCAAATAGCGTAGAAACTACTGGTTTTTTTAATTTAATAATATACCTATTAATTGTTTTTAAATTCAAATTTTTTTTTAAAAAAGTAAGTTCACCTAATATTAATATTTAGAGTGAGTAAATGTCACAATTCAATTTACTTAAGTTGTGTTGACACCTAATTTGAAATGCTAACCAAACAAACCTATAATAACCACAATTAAAGTAACATAAATGACAAAATCTAACAGTCATATCATAGGTAAGATAATAATAATCACTTGTTGAATCGAACTTAAGAATAGTTTTGATTGGCTGAGTGTTGGATCGTATAAACACTCAACTGCATTAAAAGGTTCATTTAAATACAATAATAACGGGTAAATACTTATAGCAATCATAATATTGAAAAATAAAATAGGTAACATATTATACCGCACTTGTTAAAAACAAGGGATTCGAAACAAAAATAGCTAGTTGGTATATACTTATTTTAAAGTGGAGAATAGATTGATGTAAAACTGGAAAGCACATGAAGAATTATTCAATTATATATAGAATAATGTCATCCTCAATAAAAATTTAGCAACCCCAACTCTTGTTGTGAAATTGACTCGAAATGATAAAGATTAGACAAACATTGGAGGCAAGAGATGTCTATTCGCCTGTATTAGTGAACGTTTCACTCTCAAGCTAGGATTTTCTCGGTTAAATCTGAATTAGTTGAGCTCGAATACGAATATCGAACAGCAAGTGAGAACCAAAAAAAGAAATTTATTAGTGAGGATAATTGTCATACGCCTGTTGCTTCAGAGTAACAAGTAACAAAATATAAATTAGTATTACCCTCATTTCTGATAAGTGATCATGCCTATTTATTTGTGATAGGATCCCAAATGTACAGTAAAATCTTTATCTATCATTTGTTCGTTTTTATCAAGTCAAGTATTTGGTTAAACTGATCTTATTATGTTTCAACGTGTCCTAAAGCAACAATGAATTTAGGTGATTTTTATGTCCAACGTCATAATTTTATCGAGGTATACCTCTTACCTCAATCATGTATTATGTTACGCAGCGCCTTCTTGAGATTCCTGGAAAGGACGACGTAAGGGAAATCAATTGATGTCAGTGCAGTTACTATCTGCCAATTGAGGTCCCCTCCGTACGCTAGACGAGAATGTCAGTGCCGTATAAGAAAATCAATGTCAAGAGCAATTGAGAGAATAGAAATGAGAATGAAAGAAAGCTTGATTGCATTAATGAAAGCTATTACAGAAAAGCAACACGGTGTCGAGGGTGAGAGACACCAATATAGAGAATAGTTTGTTTGCTAGAAAGTTTGATTGCTTGATCCCCCTAATAATGCTTAAAAAAAATAAACCAAAGTTACAAGACTTGACCTAACTAAGCTAGAGGAACATAATGGAAGTACATGAAATAAAACTACTCTATATTTACAATGAAAATGACTTAGATTTCTACAAGGTAGAAACAGGTCCATTGTCAGCAACCTTGTCTTGGGCATCACGGTATGCGCGTGCGACACTGTTGGCATTTGCCTGTGGCTGGGCGCTGGCGAGTGCTATTGATGGGGCGACGGAGGCACATGCGCGCTTGTCATTTGGCGCAGCCAAGACCATGGGGCCATCCATGGCGCTAGGCGTTGGGAGGCTTGCTAGGACGTCATGGTGCGCGTCCAAGGGGCCATGAGGCATGGCTGGAAAGCCGCCCATGACATTCTCCCCCACCTGAGTTGGCGATACTCGGCACCTTACTTGCAAGATAGTCATCAATAAGGCTCTTGTAGGCTTTGAGGTTTGTTCCCCTCTCCCAAGTATTCTCCTCTGTATCACAACCCTGCCATTTCACCAAGAACTCTTGGTGATCTTTCCTTGAGGTGTGAATCACTCGATCATCGAGAATAACTTCAACACGCCTTTTCCCGGTTGAATTGGGGCGTCGAACACTAGGTATTGTGAGTTGGTTCTGTGAAGGATCGTCTGTGTCTTCTCGAAAAGGTTTCAAAAGACTGACATGGAAGACAGGATGAATTTTCCACCAAGTTGGGGTATCCACCCGATATATAACTTTCCCAATGCGTCTTTCAATAGACAAGGGTCCAACAAACTTCACAGAAAAATCTATCAAGAAATACAATCTCAACTGTAATAAAGATTGTTTATGAAATACAAATCATACCGATCACCTCTTGTAGTCGACAATTGCTGTTTGATATGCAGAAGAGGGAGAAAGAATAGAAGTATATATATTGTAAAAGTAGAAAACTGAATTGAGAAAACTATGAAATCATGTTACTGAGAATGTAGGAAAGAGGAATGCGCGGGTGAGGAGTTGAAATCATGGTGAGAGATCGTGGGATAGAAGCCGAATTTGTAGGATTACGATTTCTAGGGTAAATAGACGAAGGAAGGGCGTAGGTCTGAAGCGCCGAATTCCAATTCCTCTTTCTAGGGCAAATAGCGTAGAAACTACTGGTTTTTTTAATTTAATAATATACCTATTAATTGTTTTTAAATTCAAATTTTTTTAAAAAAAAGTAATTTCACCTAAACTAACTAATGGCGTGGGATTGAAGCGCTACGTTTTTCCAATAAAACAGTAAAAACTACTTTTTATTTAAAATATTAAATAGCTAATTAAATATTTTCAAGTTCAAGATTTAAAAAGAGAAACTACTTTCACCTAAATTAACTAATTTGTCCTAAAAATGCAACATGATATTTTATGCACGTGACACATGGCAAAATCTCATGTCTGACTTCTTTCCTTTTAAGTAAATATATATATATGTGTGTCATCTTTCAAAGTTTAAACTTAACGGACATAACACGTGTTTTTTTGCGAGTAAAAGAACCAATCCTACAACAACAAAAAAAAAAAAAAAAAAAAAAAAAAAAAAAAAAAGGAAAAAAAAGACCACCCATAACCCGTCGGACACCCCTCCTCCCAATTTTCTGAACGCTTCTTACAGTTCTCTCTCTACAATTTTAACCATTTGCTTGCTTAGTTTTTGCTGCCTAGAATAATAATAATGGGTGTTCAGGAAACGGACCTTCTTTCACAACTAAGTTTGCCACCCGGGTTTCAGTTTTACCCGACTGATGATGAGCTTTTAGTTCAATCCTTATGCGGCAAAGTTGGTAATAATGATTTCTCTTCACAAATCATTGCAAATATTGATTTGTACTAATTCAATCCTTGAGTTCTCCCAAGTAAGTTTCTTGCTGTAAAACTTTTCTAATTTAATTTTAGTTTTCCTTAACTTGTTTAACTAATAATTTTATTTTTGAATTTGTAAACGCAAGACCAATCCCTAATAATTAAGTACAGACCTTTCAATTGCTCACATAGGAAAGACCAAAGGTTGCATTTCCCTAATAATTAAGTACAGACCTTTTAGTTGCTCTTCATTAAGAACCATATGAATTTCCCCATCAGAATTTCTGAGTACAAATCGCTGCAGTCTCGCTTCTACTCTCTGTTATTTTCTTCTTCTTTCCACAGTTGCATACTAGGTATTTGATTGACTTCTTGTGCTTAGTATTCAACATTGGTACAGGGAACATATTTTCACAATTTATATTTCTGGTGATAATTGATCAACTTACTTTAACATGAAAACTATTTTTTCTTTGCGTAGATTATTCTAAGGCCTTCTTGTTTATTGTAAAAAACCATATATAATAACCTCTTCTTGCTTATTCTTTGATCGATGATGTATCTGATCAATTAGTACATTCTTGGAAGTGGACTGATGAATATTCTTGTTTTGTCATTAGGTTGTTAATATATGGGGAAAGTCATGGAAAAGGGAAACATTTGCTTGAAGCTGTTGGTTGATAGCAAAGCTCATAGAGTTCTGTTTGCTGAAACTGGAAAAGACTTCGTTGATTTCTTATTTAACCTACTCAAATTACCAATTGGATGTTTTGTTGGGCAGCCTAGTATTAAATCCGTGTGTGGTTCTCTTGGCAACATAATCCCGATTATGAAAAACTCGGGTTCTAATTACATGCAGCTTAATGAGCTTGGTAATGTCCAGGATATTATGACATGGATGATCACAGATAATCTCTTTGTTACACCATCTTCTGCAGCCTTTGCAATCCCCGTGTTAAAAGCATTAAAGCCCCAAATTGATGCAGTAGAAGAAAGGATAATTGATTTTCAGATCAGTGATTTGGTAGGGCACCATTTGCTTCTGTTGTCTTATTGCCTTATTGTTGATTTTGTCTGTTTATTGCTTCATTTTCACTGTTCTTGAGCCGAAAGTCTATCCGAAACAACATCTCTATCTCATAAGGTAGGTGTAAGGTTTGCGTACACATTACCTTTCCTAGACCCCACTTGTTAGATTTCACTGGGTTTGTTGTTGTGATTTGGTAGGGCGATCTTTGTGTCTTTGAATATCACTTGCCTTCATTTTATTTAAAATGACAAAACAACTAATTAGCACAGACATTAAGAAAATCATTTACTAGCTAGCATATATCGTAAAAGAATATGACTAGATTATCCTTATTTCTCGCTTAAATGAATATTTAATACTCCTTTTTGTAGTAAGGGTGGAATTGAAAAAAAAAAACTTTCAAATACTTTTGACGAAATTATTTTTGTATAATTCCCTCTCTTTCTGTATTGTTTGATTTGTAGGACATGATTAATGTTTTATCTTTTTGTTTCTTCAACCAAATCTAGGAGCACGAGTTCTTGCTGGTTTCTTTGAAGTCAGAAACAGTTCTAACTGACATTTTTCTTCGGCAGACTGGTTGGAGAAAATCCAAAGATGGTTAGTGATTCTTGTCATTTGGTTGCAAATTGGTGTTCGTAATAGTATTATAGGTTTGACATTATTTGCGTAATTAGCTAGAGTTATCCATAAAGTTAATGTGCATGCATGGTATGTTTGTCACCAAATTGAATGGGAAAAAATTCATTTAAGGAAACCAGTACTTATACTAATTGTCAATTAACCATTAGAGATTCATAATTTATATTTGATGAGTGCATTTTTTTAGCATAGGGTAATGTGTATGCAGACCCTCGATAGAAAGGTGTGTAGGTCGAGAATTAGGGTTAAAAGTTGATGAGTAATCGTGAGTTTCCCCTTGGCTTACCAAGTAGTATTAGTTCTATTCTTATTATTTTCTTATTCTTGGTTCTTTATTACTACATGTTGTGTCATTCGCTTCTGTTACTGTATTATCTTGTTGTTGTTATTATTTGTTGTTTTATTTTCATTGTTCCTTGAGCTGAGGGCTATCGAAAATAGTCTCTCTATCTTCATAAGGTAAGATTAAGGTATGCGTACACATTACCCTCCCCAAAGCTCACTTGTAGGACTACATTGGGTATGTTGTTATTGTTGTTGAGTTCATTTTTTAGCGTGGAATGCATTGTACATAGGTGTCTGTTTCATGTCGAAAATATTGGATTTGATTGACCAATATTCAAAAGTTCCATCCTAGTTGCCCGCGCTTAAAATCACTACCAACATTCAACCATCTCCTTCTTTTATCCCCATGCAGGATTTAAATTCTATGGGTTCAACTTTTAAAGGTTTTAGTATTGAACCTATTATATTTTAAAGTTATGGGTTCATATCTTCTATTTTTGCAATTTTAATGATATGGGTTCAATTGAACCTGTTGGTAACACATGGCAACACACTACATCCGCCCATGCATGCAGTAGAACCTTTTTCTAATTTAAAAGTAGTACTAATTCAGAATTTGAATCAGTAGACACCTTATTTGTTAAGTTTTTGGCAGGAGAAAATTGCAGTGTGAAGCTTATAGTTGACAATAAAGCTAAAAGAGTCCTCTTTGTTGAAGCTGGAAAGGACTTCTTTTGTTTCCTGATCAGCTTACTTCAACTTCCAACTGGAACTATTATCAACCGAACTACTACTGATAGAAGTATAAGAACTATGGTTGGCTGTATTGGAAATATATACAGAAGTGTTAAAAATTTAAATGAAGCTTACATGCACTCAAATCAAACAAAGGATGAACTCCTCTTGGCAAGTGGATCAAAATCTTGGTCTGAAGCCTTGCAGTTATTGCACGGTAATTTATTTTTTTGTCTATGCATCTGGTGTCTGAAGTAAACTGTTTTGGTTAATAGGTTTTTGTCAGAGTAGTAGTACTCTCCTCGTTTCAATTTATATGAATCTCTTTGACTGGGCACGGAATTTAAGAAAATAAAATGAGGACTTTTAAAACTTGTGACACTAGAGTCATAATATTTCTGTGGCTATTATTCTTTTGAAACTTGTGGTATTAAATATGTCTATTTGTGTAACTATAAAAACTTCTCATTAAGGGTAGAATAATAAGTTTAAGTTAGATTGTTTCCAACTTTGAAAACTGAGGCGGATTTACATGGAGGGGTGCGGGTTCACGTGAACCCATGCTCCCATCCCTAGAGTGTGTATAAATTCTTGTGGTATAGTACTTAATCAGATGTGGGTGAACCCATGCGCAAGATGCCACTTTGGTCCATTGGTGGCTGTGTGCCCCTCTGATGGCCCAGGTTAAGGGTTCAAATCCTCTGTCTTCTGTTTTCCTTTATATATTTTGTCTTTTCTTTTTTTGTCTTCCTTTTCGTTCTTTTCTTTTTAGGTTCCATTTTGTGGTTTTTTTTTTGTTTATTGATTTATCTTTTCTTTCTTTTATGTTTATTCTTTTCTCCTTTTTTCCAGTTTCTTTTTTGGTTCATTCTTGAAAATTCCTATAAAAAAAAAAAATCTTAATTCACATCTCCTCCTTATCCCTCTTTCTATCTCAACATTTTTACGAACAATAATCGCCCTCTAACCGATTTCTTTATCATTTCTCTACTTTATATTTTCCTTCTAATTTTTCTTTGATTTGTGAAGTGAGTTTTCCTCAAATAACGATGCTATTATTAATCACTTTTAAGGTATGAAAATTTGTTAAGAACTTATTGTCATTGCAAAATTTTGATGGAGTCAAACCAAACGGTAGTATAGTACACCCATACTCTTAAAATCCGAGATACGCCGCTGTTTGAAAGGGTTCGGTTGTTTTGAACGGGCCAAAAAAGAAAGAGGTCACATAAATTGGAAAGGAGAGGACTACTTTCTCAGTTTTTTTTTTTTTTTTTCTTCTTCTTATCACTATCACAAATACTTTATCTGCTTGTCCTTATTGTGATTATTTATATTATGACAGAGCTTACAAGCATGTCTGAAGCTATTCCAAACAAGCTTTTGGATAGTGATGAGGGTTATGTTAAAGGACTAATCACTTATATGGTAACTGATAATTTGTTCGTAAGGCCTTTATCTTTAATATCTGGCTTGTCGAAGCTCAATATGGTCAATAATCCTGTATCAACTTCTAAGCTTGAAGTAAGGACTGTGGAGTTTGGTGTTAATGAGGTAAAGAAGTGAATCTCTGCTTTCTATGTATTTTAACTGTTTAGGGGGTCATTTACTTTTAGTATATTTTGTTTAAGCAAATTAGACTAGTTATAAGAGTAACAAGTTGTTGCAGGTCTAGGGATGGCAATTGGGTAAGGCAGGGCAAGCTGTGCCTACTAAGCTTTTGACCTGCCTGGCCCGGCCTTGTCTAGTATTTTTCTAGTTTTTGCCCTGCCCCGTCCCGCCCTATTAAGCCCTGCCCTGCCTTGTTTAGACTTTTCTTCATTTTTTTAAACTTTATTTTCCATTTTACAAGATTCTATTCAATTTTTTATAACTTTTGACCTTTTTATAACTCCTTGCCCATCTCCACCCTACCCCATTCTAAAAAATGTATTTTGACTTGCCTTGCCCTGTCTAAGTATTGCTTGCCCTGACCCATTAAGGCCCTGCCTTGTCCGTTAAGGTCCTGCCCCATTGTCATCCCTAGTAGGTCATTGTAGTCTTATAGTGTAAAAAGGTTTTACAATGTCAGTGTATAGAAGTTGAGCTCTTTCAATAATGGCATTGCCTTTTTATGACGATTGCTTATAATTGATTGGCAGGCTCTAAAGTTTGTAGAAGTCTCCTTGCGATCAGAGACAGTCCTAAGTGATGTATTTCTTGGAAGGAATGAGCTTGCCGTTGTTGCTGCGGCTAACTGACTTGAGTGATTGGAAGTTCTTGGTTTCTGGATGGATTCTTGATTCTGTTGTTGGGCATTGATTTGTTAGAAAAACTATCTTTGTTATTAAGTAAATGCTCCAAATTTATGTTTCTGTTTGGTTGAACAAATATCAGTATCTTATTTAGCTTAAAAACTTATGCTTATAACAAGCATCTTGCAAGAGGCATGTGGCGCCATTTTACTTCCCTTCGTAAACTAGGAAGCCTTGCCATTTTGAAAACCTCTAATTTTTGTTTTGGTTCGTATGAAGCTGCTGTGCCTTTTAGTTATTCGGAGTACTCTCTGGGAATGCCCTAGAGCAATGTTAAAATTGTCTTCGTGTGACCTATAAGTCACTGGTTCGAGCCGTAGAAGTAGCCACTAACTCTTATGTTAGGGTAGATTGTTTATATCATGTCCTTTGAAGTGCGTCCCTTGCTCGAACCGTATGTGAATGCTGAATGCTTTGTTCACCGAGTTGTTCTCTCTAGAAATTCCTTGTTATATAATCAACAAAAAGAGCTTCTACGTGATTTACTGTTTTTTTAAAAGCCCGGATTAGTATGTAGCTTGGAAATGTTACATTTAATCTTAAAATTAGCCTGAAAGGACAAACTTGCCTCTATAGGGAATATGAGGTTTTTCATTTATCCAAATTTCTGGTGCAGAAAATAGCATTACCATGTATATATGCGGGATATTATCACTTTTAGCCTACGCCAGAAACTAATTATATCTGGTAGTCGAAAAAGTGTATAAAAATTGTTTAATTTTTGTACATAATATACAGAATGTGCGTACATATATATATATACCTTTTATACATTTTTTCGGCTATTATTTTTACAGCGGCTATACAATGTCATTTTTTCTATATTTACGCATTACCAACTAAGGCGAGAGCGATACTCTTTCAATTTTGAGAAAGCTTGAAACCCAAGCAATAAACAGAATATACAATATTAGAGAATTCTAAATTTATCTTAAATGATAAATTATTAAGTATTGAAATAAACTAAACTCAAATAAAAATAATATAGAGACTATTCATATAGTTGACTTTGACTAATTTTTACTGAAGTGTTTCTCTTGTTGTTTTTCTCTAGCTAGTTTCTTTAAAGCAATACAGAAAAAATTAGAAAGAGTTCGAACANCAAATAGCGTAGAAACTACTGGTTTTTTTAATTTAATAATATACCTATTAATTGTTTTTAAATTCAAATTTTTTTTTAAAAAAGTAAGTTCACCTAATATTAATATTTAGAGTGAGTAAATGTCACAATTCAATTTACTTAAGTTGTGTTGACACCTAATTTGAAATGCTAACCAAACAAACCTATAATAACCACAATTAAAGTAACATAAATGACAAAATCTAACAGTCATATCATAGGTAAGATAATAATAATCACTTGTTGAATCGAACTTAAGAATAGTTTTGATTGGCTGAGTGTTGGATCGTATAAACACTCAACTGCATTAAAAGGTTCATTTAAATACAATAATAACGGGTAAATACTTATAGCAATCATAATATTGAAAAATAAAATAGGTAACATATTATACCGCACTTGTTAAAAACAAGGGATTCGAAACAAAAATAGCTAGTTGGTATATACTTATTTTAAAGTGGAGAATAGATTGATGTAAAACTGGAAAGCACATGAAGAATTATTCAATTATATATAGAATAATGTCATCCTCAATAAAAATTTAGCAACCCCAACTCTTGTTGTGAAATTGACTCGAAATGATAAAGATTAGACAAACATTGGAGGCAAGAGATGTCTATTCGCCTGTATTAGTGAACGTTTCACTCTCAAGCTAGGATTTTCTCGGTTAAATCTGAATTAGTTGAGCTCGAATACGAATATCGAACAGCAAGTGAGAACCAAAAAAAGAAATTTATTAGTGAGGATAATTGTCATACGCCTGTTGCTTCAGAGTAACAAGTAACAACATATAAATTAGTATTACCCTCATTTCTGATAAGTGATCATGCCTATTTATTTGTGATAGGATCCCAAATGTACAGTAAAATCTTGATCTATCATTTGTTCGTTTTTATCAAGTCAAGTATTTGGTTAAACTGATCTTATTATGTTTCAACGTGTCCTAAAGCAACAATGAATTTAGGTGATTTTTATGTCCAACATCATAATTTTATCGAGGTATACCTCTTACCTCAATCATGTATTATGTTACGCAGCGCCTTCTTGAGATTCCTGGAAAGGACGACGTAAGGGAAATCAATTGATGTCAGTGCAGTTACTATCTGCCAATTGAGGTCCCCTCCGTACGCTAGACGAGAATGTCAGTGCCGTATAAGAAAATCAATGTCAAGAGCAATTGAGAGAATAGAAATGAGAATGAAAGAAAGCTTGATTGCATTAATGAAAGCTATTACAGAAAAGCAACACGGTGTCGAGGGTGAGAGACACCAATATAGAGAATAGTTTGTTTGCTAGAAAGTTTGATTGCTTGATCCCCCTAATAATGCTTAAAAAAAATAAACCAAAGTTACAAGACTTGACCTAACTAAGCTAGAGGAACATAATGGAAGTACATGAAATAAAACTACTCTATATTTACAATGAAAATGACTTAGATTTCTACAAGGTAGAAACAGGTCCATTGTCAGCAACCTTGTCTTGGGCATCACGGTATGCGCGTGCGGCACTGTTGGCATTTGCCTGTGGCTGGGCGCTGGCGAGCGCTATTGATGGGGCGACGGAGGCACATGTGCGCTTGTCACTTGGCGCAGCCAAGACCATGGGGCCATCCATGGCGCTAGGCGTTGGGAGGCTTGCTAGGACGTCATGGGGCGCGTCCAAGGGGCCATGGGGCATGGCTGGAAAGTCGCCCATGACATTCTCCCCCACCTGAGTTGGCGATCCTCGGCACCTTACTTGCAAGATAATCATCAATAAGGCTCTTGTAGGCTTTGAGGTTTGTTCTCCTCTCTCAAGTATTCTCCTCTGCATCACAGCTCTGCTATTTCACCAAGAACTCTTGGTGATCTTTCCTTGAGGCGTGAATTACTCGATTATCTAGAATAACTTCAACACGCCTTTTCCCGGTTGAATTGGGGCCTCAAATACTGGGTATTGTGAGTTGGTTCTGTGAAGGATCCTCTGAGTCTTCTCGAAAAGGTTTCAAAAGACTGACATGGAAGACAGGATGAATTTTCCACCAAGATGGGGTATCCACCCGATATATAACTTTCCCAATGCGTCTTTCAATAGACAAGGGTCCAATATATTTTTGCAATAGGCAAAGGTCATGGATCCCTGCAGAAAAGTACCGCTTTGGGATCTTGACCATCACTTTGTCTCCTGTTTGATATTCAACAAAGCGACGATTCTGATCAGCATGTCTCTTCATCCGCTTTTGGGCTTTGACAAGATAGCTCTGTACTATCTTCAAATTTTGTTTCCATTCTTTTGAAAAGCTAGCAGCTCAAGGAGATTTTGACATGTTTGGTGCATTTATAGTGTATGGGAGTAGCGATTGTTGTCCGGTAATAATTTTAAAAGAGCTTTTGTTTGTACTAGAGTTTTTTGTGAATTAAAACATAGTTGAGCAATATCTAGAAGCTTCACCCAATTCTTCTGCGATCCGGTTACAAAGTGGCGGAGATATTCCTCCAGCATGCCATTGAACTACTCCGTCTGGCCATCAAATTGCGGGTGAAAACTTGAGTTGTGACTCAATTTTGACCCGAGGCACTTAAAGAGTTGGGTCCAAAAATTGCTTGTGAAGTGTGAGTCGCGATCAATAACGATGTCTTTAGGCAAGCCCCAATATTTCACAACATGAGAGAAAAAGAGTCGAGTTGTATCTTCTACTGAGATATATTTTGGGGTTACTATAAATGTTGCGTACTGGGGAAACCGATCCACCACAACCAAGATAGTTGTGAGATCTCCAACCTTGGGAAATTCGGCGATGAAATCCAGGGAAACGCTTCTCCAAGGTCTCTTTGGGAAAGCTAGTGATTCCAAGAGTCCCGCTTGTGTCAAGCAGTCTGACTTGTCCTTCTGGCATACTAGACAAGTCTTCACATACTGAGCGATGTCATCAGTCATTTGAGGCCAATAATATGCGCGTGAAGTAATTCCATGGTGCGTTATTCACTGGGATGGATGATCCATAAAGTATCGTGGCATTTCGTAAGAAGAGTCCTTCGCAGATCTCCTCCTTTAGGAACATAAAGTCGGTTCCCTTTTACTTTCAGGAACCCATCTTCCATGTAGAACTGACGAGTCTTGCCGTGTCCTACCAAATCAACCAAATTCTGTGCAACGGGATCCTTGATGAGTAGATCATGTATCTGGTCTTTTATGGTGGTGGATACTTTATTCCCCTTAGAGTGGTGAGTAAGCACACCGATGCTAGATCAGCTCTCCGACTGAGCGCATCAGCAACATGATTAGTCTTCCCACTTCGGTGCTCCAAGTTGAAGTGAAATTCCATTAGGAGTTCCTTCCACTTGTCTTGTCGACCATTCAGCTTCGGTTGGGTCATAAAATGAATAACAACTGTGTTGTCTGTCTTGACCACGAATGGGGTTCCAGCAGATAGTGCTTTCAAAGGCGTAAGGAATGAACGACAACCATTAATTCTTTCTCATGGGCGGCATAGCAGCGCTCTGCATCCTTCAGCTTTTGGCTATGGTACGCTACATGATGCCCTTCTTGTAGCAAGACTCCACCAAGGGCATAGTCAAAGTCATCAGTTTGTACCTTAAATGGCTTGGCCAAATCAGGGAGGGCCAAGATGGGGCTACTAGACATAGCCTCTTTCAATGCATTGAAGGCCTCCGCTCGCCTTGGGTCCCCAATCTCAAGGCGTGACCTTCTTTAGGAGTTTTGTCAATGGCACTGCGATGAGGGAGTAATTTTTCACAAATCGACGATAGACATTGCATAGGCCAAAGAATGCCCTCAAGGCGTGGATATCCTTAGGTGGCGGCCAATCTATGATAGCCTGAATCTTCGGTTGGTCCATATTGATCCTCCCTTCCTCAATGACATGTCCGAGGATGTCAATCTGTTTTTAGCAAAGGAACACTTGGATAGCTTTGCATATAATTCATGCTCCCGCAATCGGTCTAGGACCTTTCGGAAGTGCTCCAGGTGTTCTTCCAGTGTTTGGCTATATACCATAATGTCATCCAAGTAGACCACCACAAATTCGTCAATGTACTCTCGGAAGACTTGGTTCATCAGGGTGCAAAATGTGGATGAAGTATTAGTCAAGCCGAAGGGCATAACTAGGAAGTCATA